CCAGGATAACATTTATACTGCCATGCAGTGCGGTAGCAGTTGGACTCGATTCTCCTGGTCATGCAATTGCAAACTCGCCATGTACGAAATATCTCCTTAGACAAGGAAGGCCAATTACGTGCATTCTGTTTCCGCTAGCATTTCAGTGACTGAACGACAAGCAACTATCCTGTGATGGATTGTGTGGGGAGAATTAGGCTTGATGAGGTAAGGCGTAACATTTGTCGATTAGTAGCATGACTATTCTGCTGCTCAGCAAGATCAACGACGTTTCGAGCTGTTTAAAGGCCTTCTACGCGTTCAACCTCTCACGTAGCCCTTCAGACGTGGGTTTCTCTCCATTTTATACAATTGACAGGAATCAATACCCGTCTTGGGTGATGAAATCAATCTTCCACCGGGTTTTCTTACGACCTATCCACAGATGGCAGTTCAACAGAAATCTGGGGCAAGTGTTTAATGGGGTCCCTAATTTTAAGTGGCTTCTTTTCGGACGTTCACCAATGATCTGATTGCTGATCTCCAGCAACCAATCAGAATTGGGTAATTATGTTACTTGCTTGTTCGAAACCCGTTCATCTCATCACGCACTTCGATTGATGTAATTCTTCTTTTCAGCACCATTCAGCCCAAAAGATTCATTTCATTTTTTGCTCACAAAGCATCGTGACGATCACCAGTGGAAAAAACTCCAGTCAGTGATCTCGAGTTGATCTCCAGTCTCCCTTGAAACTCTAGAATTCTGTCGAATAGATAAATATTTTATTAATGGCAAACGTGAGCGACAGCGGCGAGGGACCGGTTTGTCCTTATCTGACAGCTGCCTTTGTAGATAAAGTGCACATCCTCTCGGTTGGTCGGAAAGTTGTATTCCACACAAATTCATCGAACCGTACAGTGCGTTTTGCATTACTTTTTTCGGGACCCGTTCATTCACTTGGAACCGTGTGGCCTCCGGCTAACGAGTGCCTCACACTCCGCGGCTTGGGTCGCTTTTGCATAACTTACCTCTGTGTGTTGATGCCATACACCAATCGCCTCCCTGTTCATCAATCTGGAGAACACTGTATAGCGTTGGGAGAAACAGAATGCATTTGGTGACCCGTTGTTGGTCAGGTCTCGGTCTACGCTAGATTTTGATGAAGCGTTACGTGTTAACTTACACACAATAAGTGGGTGCACGAATCTACAGCATGTCTACAACAGTTTGAAGACGAATTTATTGACCGGACTTTAAGCAGTTGCACTGGTCAACAGAAATGGAAACAAGTGATCATTTTTATTGCCTCGCATGCGCACTGAAATCCGAAAATGCTCGAGGAGGATGAGCGTAGTGGTGTCCATTTTTCTTTCGCGCCATCCGACACCAAAATCGCCGTCCTTAAGCCTCAAATAAGGTGAGTCGCTGACGCCCGCTGCCCAAACGCCACACTGTGTACAG